TCAGACCTTAAGCCGCTGGTGACAGTAGAACTGAGGGCTCAGTGCCACCTGCTGGTCACAGAGAAGACCTACTTGATACCAGAAAATCAGGGCCACTGGTCACTCGAAGAGAGACACCTCCAGCCTTAAGGCTTAGCTCAGGGAGAAGCTGGAAAGTTTCAGCCATGGAGGGGAAGTATCAAGCCTTTCTTTACCCTTGTGAATGTTCTTGTCCACTGGTAGTGCCCTTTCCATTTGAGGGCATCCCTGCTTTAAAGCACTGAACTCACCTGGCCAAAGAAGGTCCCCTGAGCTCCACTCAGCCCAGCAGGAGCTCCTGTGAGCACTTCATTTCTGATATGCTGCCTCCAGGACAGCATTGGACATCACATAAGAGCAGACATAAGTCCATGCTAGTCCACACCGTGTGCAGAACTGGCTCTCCCCCAGTCCCCGTGGACACGGGAGGGAAGCACCTCATGTCACCACGGTCCAGTGCTGATGGAGGCACTGTTCTCCAAGTTTGCAGAAGAGGAAACAGGATCAGGAGTGACATTCACTTGCTAAAATCTCACAGCTAGTAAAGGACAGGCCCAAGACTCGAGCCTGAGTCTGTCCGAGGCTGCTGCACAGTCCCAGTGACCTGAGCTCCAGCTTTCATTAGGGGCACCACCTTTCCTAAGTGTCAAATCCACCACAGAAAGATAGTCGTCTCTAGACCAAGAGTAAGAGGGAGACTGTAACTCAGGAAGCCCCTGGGCCTCCCTGAGTCCCAGATTTGAGACTGATGGCAGGCTAAGCTGTGGCATCTCCAGCCAGTCACATGGCCCTTCTGTTGGAGAGGACTCGCCCAGCTTCTTCAGGACCCACTATCCACAGGTGGCATCTTCCCAACTCCATCCTGCAGGTGAGCTCCTACCAGCAGCTTTCCTTAAGGAGAACTTCCCCAAGGAGCTTTCTACCAAGGTGGCTCCCTACATGTCTCCAGGCTCACCTCTGACCTTTCCCCAGGTCCAGCTATCAGACACCTCATGTAGTACCAAGACATGCAGAAGACTTTGGGGAAGAAGATATGAATTTTGTATGCCAAAGTCTTGTTGACCCCAGACTAGGACAGGTGTGAAGGACAACAGATGTGGTCCAGCTTGAAAGAAGCTGGGGAAAGAGAGAGCAGTGGGATTCAAGTCAGACTGTGTTCCAGAGAGTGAGTTTATCGCACTACATTCTAAATGATCGGCATCCTCTCTGCCAGGTCCACCTGCCTGGGGCATTGTATGTCTTCGTGGAAGGGGAAGCAGGTGCTACCTATACCCCCTACTCTATTTCCACTCTGGACAGGCCCAACTCTGCAGTAACAGGAAAGGCAGGTCACTTACGCTGGCCAACTTGGGTGCAGGCCTTTCCCCTGACCTCAGGCACTGACACCACGGAGTGGGGAAGTAATGCAAAGTGCATATGCAACTACACAAATGTATTTCCTTCACTGGGAGGAGCAAGGGTGTACAGGAGTACAGGCCAGGTGAGCGGTACCCAGAAGTGGTCTCCAGCCACACACGTCCTCTTCATGAAGGGGCATCATTCCTTGCGGCACAAATGTGTCCCAAACTCCACCTCCATAGACCATCAGCACCCAAAGTGAAGAGAACCAGACTTTGAGAAGCCCTGCCTCTATGTTCTCTTTATTTGATCCACCAGTTTTCCTCACAAGGCCACTATTACTGGGGAAGGGAAGTCACTTCAGGGTAACCCAGAGAGAAGTAAACGCAGTACAGTTCTGACTGAGATCCTTGTTAACATCCTACTATGTCATTGGTTCCCCATCCATCTTGGAAATAGAAGAATGGAAATCATCCCATAATTCTGCCTCTTTTGTACCTCTCTTCAGGTCTCTCAGGGTCTGACCAGCATACTTATATCTGAGTTTAGTAACTCCTTGATGCCTTTTTTCCTACATCATAGATTCTTTTCAATCAATAATGTCTAATTACTGTTCCCCATGTTTTATAGCTAATATTTTCATCTTCCTATAAAAAGACCCCATTTGTGATTTCCCCCATCTAATTGTATTTTATTTCTTTTCCCCTTGCATTATTTTATCACAATCTCTACAAAATTATAATTTCTTTTACTAAATTTATAAAGTTTCCTCTGCTTTACTACTTTTTCCAAAGGTTGTCATTCTCTTTCAACCACTCTCTTTCAATCACTAGAAACACCTTTGGACTACTTCCCACCGTGCCATGTGCCTCCTTCCACTTTGAAATTTATTGGTTGCTCTCATTATATTCTCAGAACAGGCACCAACCACATTGATGCTGTAATCCCCACAGGCCACCACTAAAGGCCACTCTAACTCACCCTCAGGTGGGAGTTCAGCTATGGGGAGTCTGTTCTATCCATCCCTCTAAACCAGGGATTTTCAACCTTTTTCATCTCATGGCACACATAAACTAAATTCTGCAACACACCAAAAAATATATTATATTGTCTATTTGACACAAAAAAATAGGTATAATTTTGTTTCATTCACTCCAGACAGCTATTGTTATGTTGGCTGTTGTCATTTGACAATCTAAGGGAAAAGATTAGTGCCCCTGACTAAATAGGAATTTCAGGTTTTAAAAATTCTTGTGGCACACAGATCGAAAATGACTACTCTAAGCCAAGAGAATCGCAAGTTAAATTATGCCTGTGTGCTAATTTCACCAGCCTGAGTGATCTAAGAATTGTTTCTGAGTCACTACTCCATCCAGTAGAGATGGGAACAGGGCTTCTCTGCCCCACAAAGGTCCTGGAATACAGCTGCACATCCCTGATAACTGCATTCAGAACCACACTGTATGTTCCATGACCAACACCTGACATGAGACCCTCCACAGCCTTGTCAGCCTGTCCTGGCTGATGTGCCCATACTTCTATCCAATTAGGAATAGCATCAGCCACCTTTGTCCAGTCACAGAAAATAAAGCAAGGGTCGAACACACCAACTATCAGGTTTTCCTCTAAGAACAGACTAGAACTGTACAGATGAAGCCTCTCCTCTAGATCTAATTAATGATCAAGCTCAAGATTCACAGTCCAACCTCACACCCTGCATCTTCCTTGGTAATCAATCCTATGTAATAAAAGCTCAGTGACCAAATGGCAGAATGACCAGAACGACTGGTCCATTAGTTGCTATGATGTACACTGACCACCAGGGGGCAGACGCTCAACACAGGAGCTGCCCCCTGGTAGTCAGTGTGCTACCACAGTGGGAGCGCTGGTGGTTGACCGGGATGAGCGGCTGCCCCAGGAACCTGGGCTGCGACTGCCTCCTCGCTCCAGGCTCCTCCTCCTTGCTCCCTGCCACCTCCTCCAGACACCCACAGGCCGCTCAGCGTCACCACCAGGCTCACAGAGTTGACCCCGGAGGCGGGTTTGTGGCTGCCACAGGACTGAGGCCTACTCCGCTGCCTCTCAGTGCTATTGTCTCTGGGCCCCTGGAGAGGCGAGTGCTCTGGCTCCATGGAAGATGCCCGACCAGGGAGCAGCTGCTCAGAGTGCGGGTCCACAGCCAGGAGATGAGAGGCACTCCCACAGCGGGCCTATCCCCGCAGGCCACACCCCCCCAACAGTGCACGAATTCTGTGCACCGGGCCTCTAGTATGGTATATTGATTAAAAATCCAAGCTCCACTCTTTACTAATCATGAGATAGAGGATAAGTCACTTATTTTCTAGCAAAGAATAACTCAGCCATAAATAAAGGGGAATATTTTTATTCATATACTGGCATGTACAGATTGAACTCACTGAACATAAATAGAATATGAAATGGAAACTAGTCACAGTCTGCAGACAGTATTCCCCCCTCCCCCCCACCCCCTTTTTTTAAATTGAGGTATTATTGACATATAACATTATATGAGTTTCAAGTGTACAGGATAAAATTTGATATTTGTATGTATTGCAAAATAATCACCACAATAAGTCTAATTTAAATTCATCACCATACAGTTACAAATATTTTTATGATGATCTTTTAAGACTTACTTTTAGCAACTTTCAAATACGCAATACAGCATTATTAACTTGAGTCACTGTGCTATCACATCCCCATGACTTATTTATTTTAAAACTCAAAGTCTGTACCTTTTGATCCCCTCACCCATTTCTCCCCCTTCTTGTCCCCAACCTCAAGCAACCACCAATCTGTTCTCTGTATCTATGAGCTCATTTGGCGGGCGGGGGGGGGGTACTTTTTTAGATTCACATATAAGTGAGATGACACATATCTTTCTCTTATTTAAAATACTGCTCTTAAGGTCCATCATGTTGTCACAAATTGCAAGATTTCCTTCTTTTTTATGCCTAAATAATATTCCATTGTGTGCACAGTAATATGCATTATGATGTTTTGAGGAACAATGGACTGATCACAACAACAGTGGACCCATAAGCTCATAGTGGAGCTAAAAAAGTTCCTATCATCTGGGGAGTCATTCATCCTAACATGGTAGCACAATGCATTATCCACAGGTGTGTGGTGATGCTGGTGTAAACAAACTACTGTCATATAAAAGTGTATATAATATTGCACAGTACAAAATACTTGATAATGATAATAAACGATTGTTACTGGCTCGTGTATTTATTATGCTATACTTTTATTGCTATTTTTGTAATCCTCACCTGAGAATATGTTTTTATTGATTTTAGAGAGAAACATGGATGTAGGAGAGAAATATTGATGGGTTGCCTCCTGTACCTGTCCCAACCAAGGATCAAACCTGCAACCTATGTATGTGCCCTGACCAGAAATTGAACCCACAACCCTTTTGGTGTATGGGACAACACTCTTTCTATGTATAAAAATAAGTTTGCTGCCCTAGCTGGCTTGGCTCAGTGGACAGAGTGTCGGCCTGTGGACTGAAGGGTCCTGGGTTCGATTCTGGCCAAGGGCACATGCCTGGGTTGCGGGCTCGATCCCCAGTGGGGGGCGGGGGGGGGGGTGCAGGAGGCAGCCGATCAGTGATTCTCTCTCATCATTGATGTTTCTATCTCTCTCTCCTTCTCCTTTCCTCTCTGAAATCAATAAAGAAATATATTTGTTAAAAAAATAAGTTTGCTGAAAAACAGTATGTGGAGTTACACTAGCAGCAGCCTAGCCTGTTGACTGTATCTCTTGATGTCATTTTCTCTTCTGCTTGATTTGGTCTCATATTGTTTCATGATTTTAGTGTAGCCTGACTGTACGGGGAGAATAGCTAACTAGTATACCATCTAGGTTTGTGTAAGTATAATCAATGATGTTAACACAACAACGAAACTGCCTGACAATATATTTCTCAGAATGTATCCCCTTTGTTAAGTGGCGCATGACTGTGTCTGTATGAGTGTATCACATTTTCTTTATCCACTCATCCATCGATGACACTTACGTTGATTCCATGTCTTTGCTATTGTAAGTAATGGTGCAATGAAGATGGAGGTACAGATAACTTTTCAAGTTCGAATATTCCTTTCCTTCAGATAAATACCCAGAAGTAAAATTGCTGCAGATGGTAGTTCCATTTTAAAATTTTTTGGAACTTTCATACTGTTTTCTATAATGGCTGCACCCATTTATATTCCCACCAACAGTACCCAAGTCTTCCCTTTTCACCACGTCCTTACCACTACGTTTTATTTCTTGTCTTTTTGATAGTAGGCATTCCAAGAGGCGTGAGGCGATGTCTCATTGTTTTGATTTGCATCTCCCTGATGATTAATGATGTTGAGCACCTTTTTATATCCCTGCTGGCCAACTGTCTATCTTCTTTGGGAATCGTTGCTTTTTCCTTTTCTTGAAAAGAGATGATTGGTCGGAGGCTATCCAGGAGGGCAGCTTGAACGGTCTGCTCTTGAGCAAGCTGTGGCAGTCATCAGGAAAAGTAACGTCAGTTACTTACACATTCTCTGAGAAAGCTTGTGGTTTCTGCTGTCTGTCACTGTGTAAGAACTGCCAGTTTTCCAGTGCTCCTCCATCTGAATACATCATGAATGCACCTTAGTGAAAGCACCGAGTTGCAATTTTTCAGTCTCTTCTTGTGGTAGTGGTTTGAATCTTCTGAGAAGCAGCTTTCTAGATGTGTTAGAAATAGAAGAGCGTTATTGGGAGTAGTGCCTATGAAAGAGGGCACAGAAGTAGGTGAGGAAAGTCTTTAGATCATGATGTAGATCTGGTATCTGTGAAGGGAGGAAGGAGAAAGGATTGGGAAGCAAGAGTTTCAGACTATAGTGTAACTCTGAGAAAGTCTCAGCCACTCCAACAGAGAGCTCCAAAGACTCCTGCTTTGTTCAGACACTGGCTGGACCTCCTTGGGGTGAGGATAGCAGCAGATTCCTGAGCTGGCACAGGTAGAACATGTTACCTGGGTGCATGCTTCATAGCAGACTTTCAGCAGCACAGCTCCAGAGCAACCACACTTTTTTGGTCAAAACTCAGCTTCCTGAGGAGCTGAATCAGTTAGCTTTTGCTGTATAACAAGCCAGTCTGAAACAGCGGCTTTTAAAAAATAAATATTTATTTCTCACACATTTGAGAGTTGACCCTGTTAATAGTGATGATATCAGCTAGATTTGTTCCCATGTCTAGGAACTGGATGGCTGTCATCTAATCTATAGCTGGTTCTCAAAAAACGTGATTTTGGTCAATGTCCTCCCATTATAATGTTGATAAGATGCCATAGGAACTTAACTCTTGTTTATATCAATTAACCTATAGTAAAATTAGCTTCATTATACGTCGTTTTGTTTAAAGTTGCAGAACCTAGGGATGACGTTAGGTGAGGTCTTACTATAGACTGGCCTCCTCTAGAGCAACTAGCGCTGGCTTCAGTGTCTCTCATCTTCCCGCAGGCTAGCCTGGAAGTGTCCTCCTCTCACTAATGTCAGAAGCACAAAAGAAAGCAAATGGAAATACACAAGGCCTCTTTCACTTCTGTCTCATTCTATTGGCCAATGCAAGTCACAAGGTTGACCCCAGTGTTACGGGGCAGCCCATGATTGGAGGGCACTGAAAAGTTACATGAAAAAGGACAAAGATTAGGGAAGGTTGGAGGCCTGGAGCCTTCATTGCAAACCACAACAGAATCCAGAATGATCATGAAGGCTTTAGTAGTCTCTTTTTCCAATGTGAAATGTCTGCTAACAGTGACAGTACTGGATATCAGAAGCCAGAAGGCGGCAAGAAATATGAGAACATTCACAAATATCACAAGAATCATTTGAAAACCACATTATATCCAGTTTTCGCATTGGCCTAAGTCCAATCAGAAGGAAATGTCCCATCCTAGCTGGTTTGGCTCAGTGCATAGAGCACTGGCCTGAGGACTGAAGGGTCCCGGGTTCAATTCCAGTCAAGGGCACATGCCTGGGTTGTGTACTCAATTCCCAATGGAGAGCGTGCGGGAGGCAGCCCATCAATGTTGTTCTCTCATCATTGAAGTTTCTCTCTCTCCCTTCCTCTCTGAAATCAATAAAAATACTTTTTTTAAAAGAAGAAGAAAATGTCCCATGAATCAGTTGGCCAACTTCAGATAAACGGCCTTTTTCTTAATTGATTATACTAATTTTCCTAAAGCGTTTCTTTTTTTTTAGTTAAATAAACAAATTTATTTGTAAATTTAGTCAACATACATAATTTACCTAAAAACTTCAATGGAAGGATAAATTTTAAAAACCACTTGTAAGACCAGCTCTATAAAATGATTACCCCAGGACCATATACCAGCATCTCTAATGAGATGTATTAGCTATTGTACAGATTCTGCCTTGGAGGACCCCCCCGCCCCCAAAAAAAATGAGAGCAATTTAATATCTAGAACCATTTTAAGCAACATTTTTACACTGGTCTCTTAGACTTCTTTACCTTGTGCTGTTTTATTTGCAGTTTGGATCAGGTGTTAGGGATAAATATGTTTGGAAACCTGTCTTAGTTTGGAAGCACCAATGAGGGCTAGAGATTCCGATTTAATGGTGAAATCTGGTTGAAAGCTATCCCTGTAAGCTGTTAACAAAATGTGAGCACCTCGGGGAAGGAATTCCCCTCTCTGAGCTGTGGTTCTATGTGTGAGAACAACAATGCAGCCCATACACAGTTCTAAGGCCTGGTTCACAGTGAGACGTGTATGTCAGGAAGACGCACAGGGGCCTTACAGTGCATCTCCCCAGAGTCCCAAGCTACCACATAGGGATCTAAGGAGACAGTTCTTCCCTGACACAACATCAGAAAAACCCACACCACACACACACCACACTCAGATTCCCCCCAGCATCGATCCTGAGAACTCTCAAATATCATCCACTGGCAAAGACCCCGGAACTCCCAGAGTCAATTCCAAAACACAGGGCTAAACTTGGCTTTGGCATCCCCCTTACCTTATCCAACATACAATCAGTCCAATGACTGCTACTAGTAGTACACTACAGCAAACAGCAATAATCCAAGTAGCAGTAGTCCCCCAGGCATTTCCCAGCTCAGATCCTGCAGAAAGAGGAGGCAAACGTTAAAAGGAAACCTACATGCAGGGGCCAAAGTGACCACACAACCACTGCTAAGATATCTGAGGTCGTGTGTCATTTTCCTGTCATAGATATAACCACCAATCCTCTGCCACACTTCTTGTCATTCCTATCACATGCATCAAATAGTGTTTAGCACCTGCCAGAAATACACGGCAATATGGACACCACCTACCACATATGTATGCCGTGCACATGTTCAAGCTTCCACACTACATCATCTTACATCACTATACACTGCTGTATATCAAATATCTGTGTCCCCCCAAAATTCATATGTTGAAAACCTAATACCCAAAATGATGGTATTAGGAGGTGGGGCTTTTGGGATATCATTAGGTCATGAGGGAGGAGCCCTCGTGAACAATTAGTGCCCTTATATAAGAGGCCCTAGAGAGATTCCCTTATCCCTCCACCATGTGAGGATACAAGAAATCTGTGACCCAGAAGAAAGCCCTCACCCAGCGGCTTTTATTATATTTATTTATTATAGCAGCCACAAGTCACCAACACAAATCTATTATATTATATTATATTATATTATATTATATTATATTATATTATATTATACTAGAGGCCTGGCACACAAAAATTTGTGCACTCGGGGGGGAGGGGGGTCCCCCAGCCCAGCCTGTGCCCTCTCGCAGTCTGGGACCCCTCGGGAGATAACGACCTGCTGGCTTAGGCCTGCTCCCGGGTGGCAGAGGGCAGGCCCAATCCCTAGGTGCAGCCCCTGGTCAGGCTCAGAGCAGGGCCGATTGGGGGGTTGGGGCACCGCCCCCTGTCACACTCAAGGCAGGGTCGATGGGGAGGTTGCGGCACCACCCCCATCATGCACAGAGCAGGGCCGATCAGGGGGTTGGGGCGCTCCCCCCTGTCACTCACAGAGCAGGGACAATCAGGGGGTTGGGGCGCTTCCCCCGTCACTCACAGAGCAGGGCCCATCGGGGGGTTGGGGCTCCGTAACCTGTCACACACAGAGCAGGGTCGATCAGGGGGTTGTGGAGCTCCCCCCTGTCATGCACAGAGCAGGGCCCATCAGGGGGTTGAGGAGCTCCCCCCTGTCATGCACAGAGCAGGGCCGATCAGGGGGTTGAGGAGCTCCCCCCTGACACTCACAGAGCAGGGCCCATAGGGGAGTTGGGGCACCGCCCCCTGTCACACACAGAGCAGAGCGGATCAGGGGATTGGGGTGCTGCGCCCTGTCACACTCAGGGCAGGGCGGATCAGGGGGTTGGGGTGCTGTGCCCTGTCACACTCAGGGCAGGGCGGATCAGGGGGTTGGGGTGCTGCGCCTGTCACACTCAGGGCAGGGCCAATGGCGGAGGTTATGGCTCTACCCTGTCACACACAGAGCCGGGCCCGTGTCGGGGGGGGGGGGGGGTTGGGGCGCCACACCCTGTCACACACAGAGCCACAGGGCGATCAGGGGATTGGGGAGCTCCCCCCTATCAGGCACAGAGCAGGGCTGATCAGGAACAGAGCAGGGCGGATAGGGAGGTTGTGGCCCCGCCCCCCTGTCACTCACAGAGCCCCAGGGCGATCAGGGGGTTTGGGCGCTGCCTCCTGTCACGCTGATCCCGGTGCTGGGAGCCTCACTGCTCTGCTGATCCCGGTGCTGGGAGGCATATTACCCTTTTACTATATAGGATAGAGGCTTGGTGCATGGGTGGAGGCCAGCTGGTTTGCCCTGAAGGGTATCTGGATCAGGGTGGGGGTCCCCACTGGGGTGCCTGGCCAGCCTGGCTGAGGGGCTGAGGGCCATTTTCAGGCTGACGGGTGACTGAAGCTCCCAACCGCTCCTTTCTTTTTTTTTTTTTTATTCTGGGCCAGCTTTAGCTCTGAGGCCTCGGCTGCTGAAAGCCGGTTTCTGGCCTTTGTTTTTCCTTCTGTATTTGATACAATGTTGCGGTCAGGCTGGCTAAAGGCCGGCTGACTAAAAGCTGGTTTCTAGGGTTTTGTTTAGCTTCTATATTGGCAATATAGTTGCTTAGATTTGCAGCTGAGAGGCCGGCAGCTGCAGGCGCGGAACGTTGGAGTCCGCAGTCACTGGAGCAAGCAAGCCTCCCTGTTCGCTTCAGTGCATGGCTGCCGGCCGCCATCTTGGCTGACAGTTAATTTGCATAAGGATATGCTGATTAGCCAATGGGAAGGGTAGTGGTCGTACGCTAATTACCATGTTTCTCTTTTATTAATGTAGATTATACACACAAAGCATATTTCAATTCCAAATTTCACATGTCTCACACATACTCTACACACACCACACTCATACACATCCCTGGCCCTTGCTTCCAAAAACAATTACTCTCTCCGTCTAGGACACCCGAGGCCCCATCTGGCAAAACCAATCAGCCCCTGCCTCCCTAACCCCTCTCAGCTCTAGGCAGATGCATTTGACCTGCAAGATCATCCCCAGCCAGGACCAGAGCCATGACCATGGAAACTAAGATATGAGCTCAATTAACCCACCCCACCAGCAGGGGGGAGGGGGGTTCTGTAGTGAGCTGTATTATGTTAAGCTCAGGATCTAGTGTTCCTGGGGAAAGGCCTTGGCATGTGCAGGACTCCCTACTATGGACTCCCCAGCTTGAGCACAGAACTATTGGCTTCACTTCTACCAGCCAACAGTTTGCAGTGGCCCTAGAGCCTGGCCAGAAGAGTTGCTGGTAAGGTTGGGTCTCTGGACCCTGATAGACCCTTATCCTCAGGGGGCATGGACAGGATCCTATCCCCTTTCTCCTAGTAGCTGACAAGCTTCCCATTCCAGGTCATACAGACCATCAAGCTCCTTAAGCTGCCATAAGTTACCAGCAACGCTGAGGACGCTTGTCACCCCTCTCTAGCTATTAGGCCATCCACCCTAGCTTAGGGACCTAGTCTGGACAGCTGACTCTGGGGCTGAAGTAGGCCAAACCGAGCTTTCTCTCCTTCCCCATTGGCCCCCATTTTGGCCTCGACTAACTGGGAACCTAAGTGTTACGTTATACACCCTCAAAGTGAGGAGTAAGATTAATGTTTAGAGGATGCTTACCTGTCCCAGACAGGGTGAAGTTCAACATCGTGAAGGTGTGCAGGGATATGTGACTTATCACACATTGGTAGGTGGTCATCACATTGTGCTCCAGAGAGTGGTTCAGCCTCAAACGGCTGGTGATGTTAAATGTGCCGTCCTCATTCTTGATGGCTGGACCATTGGTGATGCCGTCAGAAATCTCCTGGCCCTGGGGATTCTCCTGGGTATATATATACCATGTGATGTTAATGTCCTTTGGGTAGAACCCACTTGCCTCACACAAAATATCTTCGTCGCCATCATCTTTCACTGTGGCTTGTTCTGGAAACAAGGTGCACTTTGGGGAAGCTGCCAGGGAAGAGAAGTCATGATTTGAGGGTAGGTTGGGACTAGCTTATTAACAGTTCAAAGCCTAACTCATACCAAGCCTTCAGGAAGGGTGAGTGAGGCGAATGAGATTCTGCTTAGCCTAAGTAATCTGGGGATAGTGATCCCAGTGCCAGGGTGACACTGATAGACCATGATCCCGACTCTCACAGCCATTGTGCAAAGCAGAGTTTCTTATGCCACTTGGTGTCATAGACACCTTTGAGAATCGGAGGAAAGCTCTGGAACACTGTTGTGGTAGAAACTGCTGTCCATTCTTCAATGACACATCCAAGTTAAAGCTACATCTCCCTTGCCGAAACCGGTTTGGCTCAGTGGATAGAGCGTCAGCCTGTGGACTTAAGGGTCCCGGGTTCAATTCTGGTCAGGGGCATGTGCCTGGGTTGCCGGCACATCCCCAGTGGGAGATGTGCAGGGGGCGGCTGATCGATGTTTCTCTCTCATCGATGTTTCTAACTCTCTATCTCTCTCCCTTCCGCTCTGTAAAAGATCTATAAAATATATTTAAAAAAAAAATACTACATCTCCCAACTTCCACTTCAGCTGGTGAACTCAGGGTCTACTAGTTCAGATAGAATCAGAAGTAGCGAGAGCAACCGCAAGGAAGTACTCTTAAGGAACAAGGGTATCTTAAAGAAAAGTACTATAGCCTTCTCTCCCTCTCCCCTTCTTCTTCCTGGAGAACAGCTGGAAGACCATGTCATGGTTCAAGATGGAGAAGCCATTTCCAAACACAAGGTGAAAGCTATATGTTGAGGATGCCAAAGTGGCAAGATAAAAGGACTCTGGGTCCCACATGATCAAAGAACAGCCCTACCTGCACAGGGTTGGCTCCATTTTGGGGAAAGAAAAAGAAACTGCCTTTTTAAAAGCCCCTGTTGCTCTGGCCAGTGTGGCTCAGTTGGGTGAGTGTCATCCCATGACCAAGAGGTGGCCGAGTTGATTCTCAGTCAGGACACATGCCCTGGTTGCAGGCTCCATCTCCAGTAGGGAGTGTGCAGGAGGCAGCCAATCAATGTTTCTCAAACATCAATGTTTCTCTCCCTCTCCATCTCCCTTCCTCTGTCTCTAACATCAAGAGAAACATATTTTTAAATTAATTAATTTAATTAAAAATAATAAAAGTCCTTGCTGACTTCTGGTTTCCTCTCTGGCATGTAAAGAACTAGAAGTCATCACTCCTATCCTGAACTGAACAAACTGCAAATCAACAACTTCTCTTAGATCCATCAGAGAACTGAGGTGACAGGGCAAACCACAACCCTGAAAGCTAGCGAGACAGGCAGATTGAGAGAACCACAGTCAAAATCATATTACAATAAGCAGAAGGTGCTGGAGTTATAACTGACAAATGGCTAAAGGGTGAAGGTGGATTAGCTGGAGGCCAGTCTTAGGAGGTTTTTCTGCGTTTTACCTACAGGATCCCGCCCCCCACACCCCCACCTCAGGTTCCCGCAGTTGCAAGAAAAATTCCCTCCTGTTTGGGGGAGAAGGGAGAGGAAAAGTAACCATTTAAAAATATGCCCAGTGCATTATCCATAACAAAGAATGCTCTAAAGCTAGAAGACTTTACCAGAGCCCTGCTGACCTGGAAGAATGGTGATTACTCCTTCAGCCCTCTATAACCTTCCTTTCTCACCCAGGAACACTTCTGAAGGTCATAGCCTAGGGGCTCAGGCCACTCAGAGAATGAGATTTAATATCAGATGCTAGACTGCTTCCCCTCCACACCACTTTACCACCACATTAACGGGGTTCCTGTATAATGATAGTAGATTACAACTGAGAGAGCTGCAAGACACAAAATCTACATGAGGAATTCATAGGGGAACTGAAAGAAAACAGGGAAGGAGGAAACAAGACCCTAGAGGAAAACTGAAATCTCTGACACCTACAGCATGGTCTTAACATTAAACACAGCCCAGTTCCTGGCCAAATGAACATAGACTCCCACCCTAGAAGCCTGTTTACCTCAGTTTCTATTTCCTGATACATAATATCTGGTTTTCAACAAAAAATTACAAGGCATGCTGAATAGTGCAAAAAAACAAAAGCATCAGAACCAGACTCAGGTATGACACAGATTTTGGAATAATCAGGTAGAAAATTCAAAATAACTATGATTAAAATGTTAAGAGCACTAATGACAAAAGCAGACAACATGCAAGCACAGATGCATAATGTGAGCAGAGAGAGGGACATTCTCTAAGAAAGACTCAAAAGTAAATGCTGGCCAAACCGGTTTGGCTCAGTGGATAGAGCGTCAGCCTGCGGACTGGGGGGTCCTGAGTTCGATTCCGGTCAAGGGCATGTACCTTGGTTGGGAGCAGATCCCTGGTGGGAGGTGTGCAGGGGGCAGCTGGTCGATGTTTCTCTCTCATCAGTGTTTCTAGCTCTCTGTCCCTCTCCCTTCCTCTCTGTAAAAAATCAATAAAAATATATATTTTTTTAAAAAAGTAAATGCTTGAAACCAAAATCACTATAAAAGAAATGAGGAATGTCTTTGACATAATCATCAATAGACTTAACACTACCAAGGAGAGAATCAGCTAGCTTAAATATGTTTATATAAACTTCCCAAACTAAAATGCAAAGAGCAAAAAGAATTTGGGGGGGAGGGGGAGGAAGGAACCAGAAGGGAAAGAAATATCCAAAAACTGGACAGTTGCAAAAGTTGTAAGGTATATGTAATAGGAATACAAAAAGAAGTAAAGAGAAGGAAGCAGAAGAAATCGTTTAAAATATAATAGCTGAGAATTTTCCAAAATTAATGACAGACACCAAAGCATAGACATAGGAAGCTTAGAGAACACCAAGTAGTAAAACACCTTATCATATTGAAAATGCAGAAATATATATATGTATCTATAATACATAAATATATATTATATGTGTGTGTATAACTTACTCATAGAGTAACAAGGATAAGAATGACATTGGGAGGAAACCAAGATGGCGGCATAGGTAAACACGAGTTTGCTGCCTCGAACAACCACTTCAAAAATGCAACTAAAAGACGGAATGGACATCACCCAGAACCACAGGAAGGCTGGCTGAGGAGAGATTCTTCAACTAGAAGGAAAGAGAACAGCATACTGAGGCTCAAAGGAGGTGCAGTGTGAAAAATACAAAGGTACGGAGGTGCGCGTGGAGCGAGCTGGTGGCTGAAAGCACGGTTGTCGTTTTCAATCCGGAGGGAGTCTCAGACTCTGAGCTCCAGATCCCGGCGAGTCTCTAGGGACTCAGACTCAAACGGGAGAAGCGGGATTGTCTGGCATGGGTTGGAACGCGAGGGCAGCTTTCTCTCTGAGGTTTGCAGCGGTTGCTGGGATTCTGAGAAGTAGAGCCTCTGGGAACGGGACTGAGAGAAGCCATAACTGCTCCCTCTGCCTGCCCTGTTGATCCCGTGCGCCCCGCTCCGCCCAAACCCTGCACAGAGCCATTTGCTGGATAGCCTCAGGCAAAGGCTAGATTAGCACCTCTCCAGAGGACAGAAGTTTTCCCACAGCCAGTTGGCCTGGAGGTCAAATCCCCCTGGTATTAACTACAACAATCAAGGCTTAACTACAACAAGACTGCGCACAAAGACCACTAGGGGGTGCACCAAGAAAGCGTAAAAAATCCAGAGACAAAGAAACAGGACAAAACTATCAAGGAAGGATATTGAGTTCAGAACCACACTTTTAAGGTCTCTCAAGAACTGTCTAAAAGCCGCCGATAAACTTATTGAGATCTACAAGAAATCTAATGAGACCCTCGATGCTGTGATAAAGAACCAACTAGAAATTAAGCATACACTGACTGAAATAAAGAATATTATACAGACTCCCAACAGCAGACCAGAGGAGCACAAGAATCAAGTCAAAGATTTGAAATGCGAAGAAGCAAAAAACACCCAACCGGAAAAGCAAAATGAAAAAAGAACCCGAAAATACGAAGATAGTATAAGGAGCCTCTGGGACAGCTTCAAACGTACCAACATCAGAATTATAGGGGTGCCAGAAGATGAGAGAGAGCAAGATATTGAAAACCTATTTGAAGAAATAATGACAGAAAACTTCCCCCACCTGGTGAAAGAAATAGACTTACAGGTCCAGGAAGCGCATAGAACCCCAAACAAAAGGAATCCAAAGAGGACCACGCCAAGACACATCATAATTAAAATGCCAAGGGCAAAAGACAAAGAGAGAATCTTAAAAGCAGCAAGAGAAAGACAGTCAGTTACCTACAAGGGAGTACCCATACGACTGTCAGCTGATTTCTCAACAGAAACTTTGCAGGCCAGAAGGGAGTGGCAAGAAATATTCAAAGTGATGAATGCCAAGAAACTACAACCAAGATTACTTTATCCAGCAAAGCTATCATTCAGAATTGAAGGTCAGATAAAGACTTTCACAGATAAGAAAAAGCTAAAGGAGTTCATCACCACCAAACCAGTATTATATGAAATGCTGAAAGGTATCCTTTAAGAAGAGGAAGAAGAAGAAAAAGGTAAAGATACAAATTATGAACAACAAATACACATCTATCAACAAGTGAATCTAAAAATCAAGTGAATAAATAATCTGATGAACAGAATGAACTGGTGATTGTAATAGAATCAGGGACATAGAAAGGGAATGAACTGACTATTCTTGGGGGGGGGGAAGGGATGTGGGGGTGAGGGAAGAGATTGGACAATAATCGTGCACCTATGGATGAGGACAGTGGGTGGGGAGTGAGGGCGGAAGGTGGGGTGGGAACTGGGGGGAGGGGAGTTATGGTGGGAAAAAAGAGTAACTAATGTAATAATCTGAACAATAAAGATTTAATTGGAAAAAAAATTCAACATGAAAAAAAAAAAAAGACAGAACAGACATCATCCAGAACCACAGGAAGGCTGGCTGAGTGGAAATTCTACAGCTAGAAGGAAAGAGAAAAACATACCGAGACTCAGAGGTGTGGTGCGGAAATAAAATACA